TAGACGATAAACGTCCAAAATGCTTAATATTTGAATATTTTGTAATAAAGTTTCATAAAAATGAAAAACTCAGCGATGTGTTACATCAATTTCCATTGTACGCAAGTGTATATTAGAACCCATTGAGAAGAATATGAGTAGATAGTGGCATAATGCAAATATATGAGAGAGTAGTAATAGCGACGAATGTGCAAAACGCAGGATTGTAGATTATATCCAGAATAAAAAGTAATAATTGTTTTAATCAAGAAAGAACTTTCACCCTGCAATTTTCGGAGTGTCAGGCTAGGGTTGTTTACTCCTATACAATTCCACTTGTATCGTTGTGCGTCGTGCAATTTCGACATAATGAGAATTATTTTGTTGGGTTGCCATTTGGAAGACTTTTTCGGGATATTCTGTTTCAACCTGAGAATCCATTAGTCCAGTCGTTTTTTGTGTTTCCTCGCATTATTATTAAAGCAACACTGTTACTTCAGATTCTTACCTAACCGATTTAAACGTGTAAACTTGTAAGTGACCTAACGCTTGCATTCTTTCGCAATACCATTAGGTAAATAGCTCCGCATTAAAATTTATGTGTAAAGTTAACAGAGAAAAGTTTCTCTACTACTCAGTTGTGATAGTTCACTATAAACGTGGCGAACCTAATAAATCTAGAGTTAGTAACATGTTTTCGTATAAACGGTAACATATAAAGTGCAACGGTTTCTGTTTTTACTTAATCTAGTTAATTGATGCTCCTCCTTCTACAGTACAGTGATTTTTTTGTAGTGAATGCGTTATTGAAACAAATTGAAATCATTGCTAGTTTCATTCCTCTGTTCTGCTACTAAGTTTTTTCGATAATGCAATGTAGGTACTTGATGTACAATTGTAGCGAACTTTCCGGAAATTTCCATAGACATTGAGGCGTCATGAAAGGTTAGTCATCGGGAATGTGACGTAATCTTTCCGAGAAATATGGCCTATTTTATTCTCGAATGTTCGCGACCGTTCGACTTTGCTATATAAGCAAATCGAATTGCGTTACAGTCTCAGTTACAATTAGAACGAAGTAATAAATGGTTCACGCTGTCATAAATGGTGCATTCGTGAGTGACAAATAATATTTTACTGTTATAAATTAATTAATTTCAAGACTGTCATAAATTTATTGTATTAGTTAGGAAGTAATCAAATTTACGTTACACTATGTATATGAATCATTTACCAGGTCTTACTCTCGCCGAATAATCTTATTAATTGCGTTTAGCGAACATAACCCATTTGCCCCGATTTCGAGTCGCACGAATACCTCCACAATTTTTATATGACTGCAATAAAACGTTCGGCCTGAGAGTAAAATTTTTCTAGATATATCGAATCACGTTGTATGATCTTTCAAATGAAGCATTTTTATTGAAACGTTTCATCCTTAGCTATATAAGTTTACTACTGTATTAGGTTGACGAAATTTGCAATTTTGTTTAGCATCATGCACTACCCCCATTGCGTATTTTAGTGCGTATGCAAAGAAATATGCTTTTACTGGAATGTACATAAACGCAATGCCTTACGTTGGGCTAGCAATAATAATGCTGTGTGCAATGGTCCGACCAAAATTAACCATACACAAAACACCTTAAACCTAGCTAGCTCTCTTAATAAAAATTTCCCAGAACACATCTGAATCCCGGAAAAACGAAAAATTCCAATTTCGACTTCAAATTCCAAATTTTATGGCCACGATCAAGTCCCTTAAATTCCAGAAGGATTACTAGAACACCTGGAATTAGCTTTAAATACGAATCAAAAAAATTAATCACAATTAAGCATGAAACATTTATCTGAATCGTTAAGGGGTTCGAATAAACCCACGATTTACACGAATTTACACAAACAAATTTATTCTAAACACAAATCAAATTAACCATAAAAATTGTAACAATAAAAGTGGACAAGCGTTCGATAACAATTAAACAGATTAATGAAACCCTAAACCACTCACAGTTTACTGTTAAAATGTCAAAAATCCCGGCAAAAAAACACTAATTGCACTTACAAAACGTATCGCAGTACACTAGTTTTCCTTAAACTTATCTTCTCTTCGGGTCCCAGGAACGTAATTTTATTCCATCGAAATAGACTGTCTGGCCAAACACATGACAGATGAAGGATGGCTGTACAAAACAGTATACCTCTATTTTCTGTTAAATCCAGTAACAACTCCCCCTCTTGGTTTCATTGTTTATCTCTTGATTTTCAAGTAGTGTTCCCCTTCCCATCTCCAACCAATTTCCTCTACTCCTTGTTCTGACATTTAAATTTAACCTATCTTCCTCCCTTTCCTCTATCATATTTTCTAATTTATTGTTTAACTCTTTCATTCTTTCTCTGTTATATATCGTTATCACTATGATCCTCTTCCTCTTCTACTCGTATTTCCTGTATGCCTTCTATCCTATTTCGTTTCATTCCCCCATTATCTTTTTACCCCTGTTGAAATGCATCCTCTTGCTCTTCCCTTTATTTTTCCGTTTCAAATTGATACTTCCATCTGTATTTGTTCGGTAACCTACTCTTCATTTTCTCCCAGTTCTTTTCTTCTATCCATAATTCTACCAATCCCAGCACATCATACCCTCTTACAAAGTCACGGAATTGTACATCTTTAGTTGATATCCCCGAAGTCTAATCGAAAAAGTACGAATTGTTTTGGATTCTACGCCCCGAAAAAAAAATTGCCTTAGATCAATCCGGAAAAAAATGTTCTTATAGAATGTGGCCTGTAGAATCCATAATTTCAAACAGTTCCAAGATTGGGCTACTAGTTCAAAAGTTACAGCCCTTTGAATTTTTTTCGAAATTGGTTTCTAGCCTATAACTTTTGATTGAGAGGTCTAATCGAAAAAGTACGAATTGTTTTGGATTCTACGCACTAAAATTAATAAGAAAGTGTTTTCCCGAGAAATTTTGGTGCAGTCGATTTTTGGTAAAAAAGGAAGGTTATACACTGCCTTCTTTTGAGGGCCGAAAGAAAATTGTCTCAGATCAACCGGGAAAAAAATTTGTCTTATAGAATGTGGCCTGTAGAATCCATAATTTCAAACAGTTCCAAGATTGGGCTACTATTTCAAAAGTTACAGCCCTTTGAATTTTCTTTCGAAATTGGTTTCTAGTCTATAACTTTTGATTGAGAAGTCTGATCGAAAAAGTACGAATTGTTTTTGATTCTACGCACCAAAATTAATAAGAAAAAGTGTTTTCCCGAGAAATTTTGGTGCAGTCGATTTTTGGTAAAAAAAGAAGGTTATACACTGCCTTTTTTTGAGCCCCGAAAAAAAAAATTGTCTCAGATCGACCCGGAAAAAAATTTTCTTATAGAATGTGGCCTGTAGAATCCATAATTTCAAACAATTCCAAGATTGGGCTACTAGTTCAAAAGTTACAGCCCTTTGAATTTTCTTTCGAAATTGGTTTCTAGTCTATAACTTTTGATTGAGAAGTCTGATCGAAAAAGTACGAATTGTTTTGGAATCTACGCACCAAAATTAATAAGAAAAAGTGTTTTCCCGAGAAATTTTGGTGCAGTCGATTTTTGGTAAAAAAGGAAGGTTATACACTGCTTTTTTTTGAGCCCCGAAAAAAAAATTGTCTCAGATCGACCCGGAAAAAAAATTTTCTTATAGAATGTGGCCTGTAGAATCCATAATTTCAAACAGTTCCAAGATTGGGCTACTAATTCAAAAGTTACAGCCCTTTGAATTTTTTTCGAAATTGGTTTCTAGCCTATAACTTTTGATTGAGAAGTCTAATCAAAAAAGTACGAATTGTTTTGGATTCTACGCACCAAAATTAAAAAGAAAAAGTTTTCCCGAGAAATTTTGGTGCAGTCGATTTTTGGTAAAAAAGGAAGGTTATACACTGCCTTCTTTTGAGGCCCGAAAAAAAAATTGTCTCAGATCGACCGGGAAAAAATTTTTCTTACAGAATGTGACTAGGGAATGCAATCCCGCAGCAAAATCTCAATCCCGGTATTTGCGGGATTGCTAGATGTTAATCCCGCGGGATCCCGGTATTTGCGGGATCCCGCAAAACCTTAAATAAATTGACAACTAAGCAATTCTGTGCGGTTAACTTCTGCATTAAAATAAGTCGCTAATTATCACAATATTTAACAAAAAAGTACCTTCGGCCTAACTTAGAACTCAAAAAAACCTCACCTGTAAAGCACAAAAAGATGAACTTCTAAAGTGCCTCAAAAATCATAGTAAATTTTTAACGAAAAAAGTTTAACAATTATATAAAAAATAACTTCTCCGTTATGCGTTTCATTAACAAAGTAAACAGAGTCGTCCACTTGGTCGACAAATTCCTCAGTCCCGCAAATCCCGCGGGATCCCGCTCCATTTATGTTGCGGGATTACAAACATGCTGCGTGATCCCGGTATTTCGGGATCCCGCGATCACGGTATTGCATTCCCTAATTAGGATACAAATTGGAAGTAATACCTACTTTTAGATGTGGTATATGTTCGATTCCTTCTGCAACTCGCCTTTTCTCGTTTATTTTGCACCTCTTCCCTCCATTTGTCCGACCAACATTTTTGTATATTCTATGGCACTGCTAATGGAAGATTTACCATGTGGCTCCATTAATCTAGACTTAATAGTATTCGATCCATTGACTAATGTATGTCAAAAACGTCTTCATTACCTCATTACCTCAAGTGTGTATACTTAAACCTCATTATTTAATATCTATGTTTAAACAAAAGATGATAATTAAAACTAATTATGCGTAGACAAGGGTACTCAAACGCTATTACTTTATTAGCAAGTTTGTATTTACATAGTCGTTAAAAAACTGTTTGTTTTTAACGTAAAGGTGACTTCTAAATCACTTGATTTGCTGCCCGAGGTTTGGAGAAAGAGAAAATAAAAGAAGTAATTCAATCTTTTATTCTCACCCTTAGTTTGATTTTACCATCCTTTCACTAATTAATTGACGATTTCAGCTCCAGAGTTGACGATCGTCGACGAATCTGGTCGTGAAGTAACGGAGAGGTATTATAAAGCGGGAAGCGCACTGGAATTAACCTGTATCGCTACTCAAGTTGGAGGAGCCGGGGAAAATCGTCCTATAACGTGGAGACAAGGTGATCGCACTTTAACTATGGGAATAAGGTAAGTACCGGTGAAATTAATATGTTAATTGGCATAAGCGAAAAAGCGTTTTAATCGAAATCTTGAGAGACCCTCCTTTGTTAGAATTCGATAATTTTCTCAAAAATTGTAATGTAATTAATTCAAAGAAAACGCCTTTATTGCCCCTGCTTATGCTTAATGAAGTTCAGAAGCAATTAGGCAATTAGTGTTAATGCGCATGCGCCAATTATGTCATTAGGGAAGTTTTTCCTGTTATCGCATACCAGATACTTTACGCTTCCTTACATTTTCATTACTTTGATCTGTTAATGATATCGATTTGGACTATTGAAATCGGCCTAAAATCTAAATTAAACTTTACCGTACAATTTCTTATTCGGATTTGCGAAAGGAGAACGGAATGAGAAAAGTCGTTTTTTCTCCAAAGTGTTCCTATTGGAGAAACATAACGCTCCAATTGCTTTCTGGGTATTAACGAGCGAATTAGAATCAAAACAGAAATCGCACCAAACGTAAGTTGCATTAAGCACTCAAAAGGGTTATTTTAACTCATTAGGGACGCTTCCTGTTTTATGCCAAACTTATTGCGAGAATTTCTTTCAGAAGAATAAACTTGCGAAATGATCTCGAAACCATTATTTGAGACTTGTTGTTTATAATGAAATTTAAGGTGAAATATGAACGAGACAATTTTATAAGACAGGAATTGTTTAAATACCCTAGGTAATTTATAATGAATCTACACTCACCATCCCCGAAGCAACGCTAACAAATTTCTTTCATGCACGCGAAATTTCATTTAGAATAATTTTGAAGTTACCCGTCTTCGTTATGTAGACGTAGTGGGTACGTTCGAGATAATTGTAGGGGTGATTAAATTATTTAAATATTCAAATTTTTAAGAAATTCCCTTTCAAACGTTCTTTTGTATACGCAATAATTTTCACGGGTAAGCCAGGCAGTAGTCAACTGGAACTCTTTGACTTCGGGTAGCCATTTATACGTTGAAGGATACATTTAAGTTACACAACACCGATTAAAGACGTAGGTACACCCAAAACTAAACGCTTTAGATAAACGCCTTGTATGAAAGAACATTAGGAAAACTATTTTGAAGACAACACTTACCTTCAGTGAAGGCCTAGATAACGAAGTAAGAAGCACAATAACTGAAATAGTCTAATTAATAGTAAACCCACCCTTAAAAAACGCTAATGACGTTCTTTCTTGTACGTGTAATTTCCTTAGAAGTAATTTTCATGGCGCAGTAGTCGATGCCGATTAAATTTGATCTAGTGGCGACAAGAAGTCTGAGGATATGGCGGAATTAATGAGAAATGGGGCAGATTGAGAATTGCCAATTTTGCTGATTTGGGGGTCCACGAGCACTTCCATCTGTAAAATTAGTTTCTGGAGATATGACCGGTAAAAGAATGAACAGTGAATACTATTGGTAAAACAGGGCCGGATGTTCACCGGGGGTAGTTGGTCGCGCCGTGTCAAAGCTCAAGTCGAAAAGCTGTATTATGAAAATTCCTTTGGAGCCAAGAAAATGGCGCGCGTTAACCCAAGGGTGGAAGTTTTAATTACGCGACGTTAAGTTCTTTTGACCCTGAAGAAAGTTAAAAATACACTGTATAGGTCGCGCGATTGCTGCTGTTTTGTACACACGTAGCGCCTCCCTATTTTTTTTCTTTTAAAGTAAAAGTATTTATCCTGGTAAATTACGCATGCGTAACAGATCTATGACCTAGCAATCATATACCGGCTGGAAAGGTTCCAACTGTTGCCAATAGCATTGCACAAGCAGCTCTTATTCTTTCTCCCGCCGATTGCGTGGTTTGATCAGTGATAAAGTTCCTAGATGCCCAAAAAATAGCACCAGTCGGAATTCATCCTCAATTCTGTAGGTCTACGGAGTCATGGGCAACCAGATGGTGCATCGTTGGTGTAGGCAATTCTGCGAAGCTATTAAAAATGGCAATGATGAAGAGCGTGATGAGTGACCGTCACTCATCAATGAAAGTGTCAGTACGAACCTGCTGTTGAAGAAATTGTGTGCCAGGTGGGTGTCGAAAAATCTCACAGCCGAGCACAAAATGAAACACTTAAAAGGACCATGGACATCTCTGCAAGGGTATCATAAGACGGCGACGAATTCTTCGACAGAATTGCAAGACGTCGGTTTCCCACTTCACCCCTGAATCCAAACAGCAGTCAATGAAGTGGCGTCACAGTGGATATGCAGTCAAAATGAAGTTCAAGCATCACAAAGAGGATTCTGCTTATTGAACTCCTGCCCAGTGAAACAGTGAACGGTGGAAATTGTGACGTGCCATTCAATTTTCAAAGCAAGAGGCGTGGAATGCTTACTGCAGGTGTTGTGCTGTCCCATGACAATGCTCGTCCACATAGGGCTCGGCGCACATCAACTCTTCTACAAAAATTCAGCTGGAAGTGGTTTTCTGACCATACAGTCCTGATTTTTCACCCGGCGATTTCCTTTCCTCCGGTCAGCGTTTTGGCAATGACGAAGAGCTAAAACCGAATGTCATACGCTGGTTCCATTCACAGGCCTCCGAACTACGTTTTCTTTTTATAAAAAAAATAGAGGAACTTATTTTCTGGAGGCGCCTCGTAGATAACGTAATTTTAAATGATATTCTTCGTACTGGTGGATTGCTCAATCGGAGGCAATCGTACGAAAAGGTCTGGGATTTGCCGTTGATTTTCGTCGTCAACTGTTGGAGATCGTCGGTATCATAATACAGAGAGGGGTGTGGTACTCCCACTCACTAACACCCCTTCACACTTCTTTGGCCTAGAATCTTGCAACGGGAGTCACTTTCGCATTCTTCCGGTGCGCTCTCTATCTACCTCGGCATCTCATCTTTTATCTCTTGACTTCTTTCTTTCTAGTGCCTTACTATTTTTATTCAGTTTTGATACAATCATTTCCTTTCACTTTCTACAATATTGGACTTCTATATTACCTCTCCTATCATCTAACCTCTTTTTGAATTTATTTAGGTATACAGTGTGGGGACCGTGTACCGTGTTTTCTCAGTACCCATGGTTTTAGGGCGCCTATATTTGCCTTGATCCAGGACTGTTTGTTATTCCATTCTTCTTCCCATTTTTGGATAGCTTTCCGTGTTTCATTGTGCTCTTGCTCTAATTTTTATCCATAACGGAGGGGTGTTAGAAACTACCATCAGGTCCTTTGTAGAAAATTGCAGCTGCCACCTTTAGCGATGTGTTCCTTTGTAATTTATCAATTAAGTCTCTGGCGGTTTGTTTGCATACTACACCACCCCATACCTCACTGAAATACGCTATCGGCAATCGTGGCTAACACCCTTCTCTTTTCCTCCAGTGGCCCGCCACTGTTCCACATAAGTCTACCCATTTGCTCTACGGTTTTCCCAGTCTTCTCCACGACTTTTCTTGGATATTCAGCTAATGCCAGACTTTTATCGACCGTAACCCCAAGGATTTCTATTCTTTGATCTAACGGTATCTTTTTCTCCACCTAGGATAATTGTCTGCGGAGCAATTCTTCTGCCGACTATCTCTACTCCCTCCATCAATTTGCCGAGGTGGATTATAACCACTATGGGCCTCACTGCTCCGGGTTCCTTATTGGGGACAAGTACTACAGACGCTTTTTTCCACTCGGATATCTGCCAGCTCCCATAACTTCATCAAAAGCTTTGGTGAAGATGTTTGGGTGCTTCTTGGTCACAGCGCCACCACTTCTGAAGAAAGGCTGTCAGGACCTTGGGCTATCCTTTTTGGCATTTTATTTGCCGCCTGCGCTACTTCACTTAAGGTCACCATTTCTACCGCTCCCCTCTGCTTTTCCCGCCCCTCTCTTAGCATCGGCGCTTGTAACGGAAAAAATTTTTAATTTTATATGTATCCTCCTCGTCGGTTGCAGTGACTTTAGCATATATGCCCCGCTACGATCTTGTAGGCTTCGAGCCTTTCAGACAGGATTTCCTACGTTCTGCCACTTGCTCGTCCCACCAGTAAGTGTGTTTGCTATGGTTGCCATACCTGCGTCTAGCTCCTCCAAGGTGTCGAGAACCTTGGCTTCTCTTATGGCGACTTTGGCTTTGGAGTGGACTAGCTGTTTCACCACCCATCGTTCACTGTGTGGTGCCTCCCGTTTGTTATTGCGACCGCGTGATATATTTATGATCAGTGAGCGTTTGGCAGTCCTCCACCCCCCACTCCGCACTAGAGACTGATGTTAATGTCGGTCAAAAAAAAATATATTATAATATCAGTGTATAAAGCGTATTTATTTATTTATTTATTTATTTATTTATTTATTTATTTATTTATTTATTTATTTATTTATTTATTTATTTATTTATTTATTTATTTATTTATTTTTTATTTATTTCCGGACAAGTACTAGTCGTTAGTGCTTCGTTAGTAACTCTTAGTGCTTCATAACTTTCATCACCGCGACCGGCCGTTTCCGAGAAATCGACCCCCCTTGTGAAGTGCTGACTTCCTACCCTCGTTAAAAGCACTAACGACCGGAAAAGTACTAATCCTTAGTGCTTCCTTAGTGCCTCTTTGTGCTTCATAACTTGCATCAGCACGACCAGCCGTTTCCGAGAAATCGACCCCCTCTTGTGAAGTGCCAACTTCCTACCCTCGTTGAAAGCACTAACGACCGGTCTAGTGCTTATCGTTAGTGATTTCGACGATTCCAAATATACCTACAGGTTGTTAATGACTAAGTGCGACAAACTTCAGAGGGTGATTACTGCCCGAAAAAGTAATGACAGTTTGCTACTTGTCTTTTATCCCCTTCATTTTCTGAGATATGGGGTGTTTTTCTGACATCTGACTATTTATTTATTGTTCTGGAACCTGTTGAGATACCTATACAAATGAAATTTGGTTGGTAGAGGTAGTTATATTGCGCATTTGTTGACAAGCAATTAAGAAATGTATGTGTATAATTTTGCATAAAAACGACACTCCATAGGAAAAAGAAG